CTTTTTAATGAGTAGCATATGTAAAATTATATGTTAAGTACGGTTGAAATTGTTATTTCAGCGAATTATTTTAAAATGAAATTTAAATGAGTTTACTTACTCATCTATCATCGTTATATAGCTTATAATTTCTTTTATAATTAATTAAATAAAGCTGCTATTTTTATAGATAATAAATATGAATTTCTTAGCAAAATAGAACGCTTGAAGCAACGGAGATACTTTATATTATAAGGTATTCCTCCCGCCTTCCTAGCATGCCTTCGTGGTGTAGTGGTCATCACACTAAGCCGGTATTTCAGAGGTCCGCGATTCGTTTCCCGGCGAACGGTTGCTAACTTTTCATCTCTCTTGCTTCAAAAAAAAATCCTAACGTATCTGCGATATTATAAAGAATTCAGTTTTCAGTACTTTAACTTCATTAAGTTTCCGTCAAACTGCTTTTTAAACACACGAAATGTGACAGCAAAATCAGGTAATTTTATGCTGAACATTAAACACTAATTGATGCTTATCATAAAATACCAATAAAATATATAGTAAAGTTTAAAAAAGCTTTCGTTTTATTTATTTTTCAAGCTAAAATAGACTTTAAAAAAATTATTATGTGACCTCCCATTTTAATAATTTTCGAAATTTTGCATAACGGCATTTTTAATTTTATTTTTATGTCTCTCTCCCTACGGTAGCTACTGAATCCTTTATAAAAATAAGCATTACTTTTGGAAAGTTAAGAACCATTGAAATTAATGTAATTTAAACCCATAAAATTTCCTAAGTAGTTCCACATAGTGCCACTATGTTATATTATTATAACCTAGTCAGATTATAGGTAAAGACGAAAGGTTTTAGCATTAAAAATTTTACTTTGTAATATAAATTTTAAATATTTTATGGAACTCATGAAAGTTATTTAAATGCGTGATATTTGTCTGATGGCTTAACAGCAGCAGTCGAACAGATGGCCTTGAGGAGTTCTGAGGTTTATTTATTACAACAAACTGATATCTTCTTTTCAGACAACAGATATTTAAATGTGTTTGCTAAAAATTTCATAAGGAACAATCTTCATTTTACGGTTATAGTAATGATGAGATTAGGTCGTCCGAACACAAATGCTTTGTCCTGATTCTCTATTGTACTTCAAAAATATTTGCATAAACTTCTAATGTTTCTACATTTTTTTTTAAGTTTTAAAATTTTCTGCAAGTTATGATAAGCGGAATGCATAGATTAAAGTACCCCTATTTCATACTGAATGGGAAAAAAGAATACCATAGAACAAATTCTGTAATTGATTTATTAAGTTGCAAAAAATTAATTCTGAAACTGTAATTATACAGGTTTTATCTGGCAATAGCGAAAAATCTTCCAGTTACGAAATCGCCGATACAGATACTGTTAATCAAAATGGCGCCATCCATGGTGGAGAAAGCGCACTGTGATTTTGAATCCACCAAAATATCATCATTTATCATCGTTCAAAGACATTTTCGTACAAAATTTGGTGTAGAACCATCCCGTCGTCACAACATCGAATGGTGGGTAAAGTAGTTTAGGCTGCTTGTGTAAAATATGCAACCCAGAACGAGCAACAGCCCAAACCGAAGTGGTTGAAAAAAATCGTGAAACGTTTTTACGAATTCTCACAATATCAGCGCGTCGTGCAAGTTTTGAACTCAATATGACAACATTCAGATGGTTTGGGCATTAAAATCTTCCGACGAACTTGTTGCGCAAAGTTTTCTGTGAGAATTTGTAAGATTAGAGGGCTTCGCGACAGATTTGTTTTTACGTGGGAATCCACTTTTCACGTTTCTGGCAAAGTTAATTGCCATAATTTACGATTTGGGGGCATCGAAAATCCGTATGGTGTCATGAAACACAAGGGTTGTTCTCCAAAAGTGAACGTTTTATGCTCCATTTCCAACAGTTGTGTTTTTGGTCCTTTTTTCTTCTAGGAAAAATAGACTAACGGTGCATTTACCAAGATATACTATCAGAGTGGTTGTTTTCTCAGTTGAGAAAGCGGTTCCCGGCTTCATTCTTCAGCAATTCACCACACGGGCATAAAAACGCACGCAAGTACCTAAACGATACTCTACCCCATCACTGGATTGGCCGTGCTAGGTAAAACGATTTGCCAGTCTTCAGGTTCCAGATTGAAAACGGCGACTGAGAAATGGCTACTTAGGGATAACCACAGACAGAAAATAATGATCATATATAACTCAAGAATCATGAGCAAAACCTAAATGGAAACGCTCGTCGCGTTAAAATTTTCTCCTGCGAGACGAATTTTTATGTGTCTGCAGGTTCCAGATTGAAAACGGCGACTGAGAAATGGCTACTTAGGGATAACCACAGACAGAAAATAATGATCATATATAACTCAAGAATCATGAGCAAAACCTAAATGGAAACGCTCGTCGCGTTAAAATTTTCTCCTGCGAGACGAATTTTTATGTGTTATTATTTCTTGGCATGTGTTTGCTGTTATTTCAAAATTGCATTTTGATTTCTGTGTATTTTTTGGAGGCATTTAAAAAATAATGATTTACTGTAACTTTTCAAGTATTGTAGAGTCCCTTTATTCTTTTCGGGATCATCCAAGAGTAGACTGTACTGAAAAGACTGCATAGCGAATTCTAGCTATGTCTTTGTGCAGAAAAAGGTTTAAATAACCTTCTTTATTTGAACCAAACTTAACAAGGGTTGCACTCACTTCGTGCTCACAATTACCCCGACTTGTGGCTAAGTAACTCAAAGAGAAAATAAAAAATGTAAAATCACAATAAGTAAAGTGGGCTACGCGACTGGTTCTTTGTTTATGTAAACCGCTAAATCGGCTGCACACAGTAAAGCCGAATCTAGAATATCAATACCTTAAAGAAAGTGGCTAAGCATCCAACGCTTCACCTACAAGGCTACTTCAAAATGCGGCATAAACTGGGAACTAACTCCCCTACTGCTTCTCACGAACTCTAAAATCTGCTGCTTAAATACTGCTTCTAAAATCCCATGGATTTGCATACTAAGTCATTAAAATTTACATTCTGGCAGGAAACTCAAATCAGAAGGGAAAGGAAAGATTGTTAAAATAATTGGTTAGAATAAAATGTGTATACAATACACACCCAAATGCTCTTTTTTCTCGCGCCGGTCTTGCTGCTGAGAGATGTAATTCGCATCCCCCACATATATATATCACCTTCTTTCACTATTTAACATTCTGTTTTGAAAATGTCAGGGTTAATATAACGAAAGAAGACTCTCAAATATATTAATAATGAGCAACAAGAATCGGAGTAATGTGACTAAATGTAGAGGACTATAGTTTCGAAGTTTAAATGGAAATTCTTTGTTCAATTGCAGGAATGAAAATGACTAGTGACGAATATGTGTTTACGCAGTAACAACAAACACGATTTTTGAGGTTCCAGCTAAGGGATAAAAAAAAACCATTCCGCTGAACCTATGTATTAACAAAAACTTGAAAATAGAGCAACGAAAAATAAAATCTTGAAACTCCAATGGGAAAGAGGGATTAGAATTCGGATCATTAGGTAGAATCGCTAGATTTTTATGAATGTGAAACAAAACCAGGAAAACTAAACTGCCAGTGCAAGCTTTTTAAATTAATATGGTTGCAGACAAATCAAAAGTGTACTTTTTTTTATCAGTAACGATGAGCAAAGGAAGATTTATGAGTATATTTTTTTTCCTGCGGGGCATAAAACTCGTATTCTTTAAATCAAAATTTCAAGGATTTCTTTATTTAAATAATATGCATTAAACTCCATTCGCAAATAATACAGAATATATACTAAAAGCTTATATCGAAAACTTAGTCTTTATTGTGAATTTTATTAACAGGAAAAAAACAAAAACCACCCGATAACTTCTGTAAAATACATGCACGTTGAGTGGAAAGATAGGAATATACAGTTGAAGTCCGCTTAATAAATTTCATAAAACGTCAGTTCTGGGAGAAAGTGGGACAGACATCTGCCATGTAAAATTTTCAAATTCTGAGATTTTCATAGCTACAATTTGTTTCTATATTTTGTGTTTGTAGCCACATGCATTGAGAAATAATTTTTACTCTAATGCTTTATTCCGAAAGGCAATAAAGACCTGAGAGAAAATTCTGGGTATTCTGCATGAACCTGCAACCAAAAATGTAGGAGCTGCCTTACCTTAAATTTAGATTTTTAAAGCCGAATCTATTGATATGTCAATAAGCTGTTACCTTTACTTCACAGGAAAGCCTTCTGATTTATATCGTGGGTCCCGAAAGGATTTTTTATCCAGTCATACTTAGTTTTTTTTTCTAGGAAATATTCTCTTACACTTTTCTTCAATTGAAAAAGATGTTTTTATATCTAATTTTTAAAATTGTCGTCTAAATTCAGTTCATTTTCCAGTAGAAAACTGTTTAATTTCACAAAACATTGCATGTCATCCTCTTCGGTATATTCTGACCACATGCTAAATTTTAAAATCAATGCATTATTTTTCTTTCATTTTTATGATATGTACATTCACTCCTTAAAGGGATGTACTTACTTCATTCAGAACGTCAGCAGCACACGCACGAAGCTTCTGCTTAATTTTCAAAGATAATTAGATTCATATCTATTTAATAAATACTATTCTACTTTATAATTTTCTTTTCGAATTTTTAATTTGACTCGTGGAACTCATGGTTTGATCGCGAGACATAGTTTGAAGACCACTGCACTACATAATTGGATACGCAATCACTGGCTGGAATTCCCCATTGATGGCGACACAATTTCCGGGAAAAGTATAATAAACGGTTAACGATTATATCTCATATAACATACATCTTGCTACTTGCATTTTAATGTTGTAGTCAGTACTTACCAGAGATTTTGAATAATAAATATATGAAAACTTTTTATTAATTTTGAAAAAGGAATACATTTTAAAGAAATGTGTAAACAAAATCATGAAACTGATAAATAAAAACAAAATTTAAGAAAATACACATTTTATTTTAACAGTAAAAGGCAAATATATGTAACTATTTTCTGTTACATAAACAAATCGGTATTGCACTTGAAGCAAATGATAAACTTCCAATTCCGTATACCTAATAAATGACTAAATATTATATAATTTAATAATATTGAAGTCGGACCGATTAAAAATTTTATAATATAAGCCACATAATTGAAAAGAAATTTCTGTTACGATTTTATGCTTCAAGTACTGCAAGATAGGATATATTTGAGGAGAAATTCCTTTCTCTCGTAATAAAAAAAATCACTAAATCCTTTTCTTGAGGCCAAGTTATTCCATTTTCATGTGAAATATACACAATGCAGAAATGTATTCAAGTCTTTAAAAAGTCGTAAGGCCGTATCATGATTTTGGTTGATTTTAAAGACTCCTGCTTTCTGAATCTGTCCTATAAGACTCCAGTACTATTTGAGAGATTCCGTATGTAAAGACCATTAAGATTGACAATTCCACAAGCGTAATACCACCAAGCTCCTTTACGTTCGTTTGCGCACCCAGTCGAATTAGTGTTTTCATTCTTTCGGTCTTTAGTGCTAAACTTTTCATTATTGTGATATGCCATGCCATCACCTAAAAAGAGAACATGAAATAAGTTAGTATGCAGACGGAAATCACATAAATTGATCTCTATGCTATCTAATTAATGCAATTCAAAATGAAAAACTTTTCCCTAAAGTTTTTCATTTTTTTTAAACATACTACTAAAATTTTAATCATCGTTAAGTTTGTAATAATGGAAGTGTTTATTAACCCAATGTTTTCAATCCGTCACTTGGTGGTGAATTTTCTTGCCGGGAATTTGCTTATGAGCAGCTAATAATTTGAATTACAAAGCAAAACTAATAATTAAGTATACTTAAGTATGCATCTTACCAAATAAATAAATTATAACGAAATAATTATTTAAAACAAACTTGGTTTATTGCAGATAATCAAATGCGTAGATTTAAAGTTTCTTTAGGAATTCCCAGCAAGTTTTCAAGCTGCAAATGTCTCACCATTATCAGCCTAATTTTACCAGAAATGTATTTCCGATTTATTCAATTTCAAACAAAATATAAAAGTAAAATTTCTACCTGATCATTCATAATACATGCGATCAAGTGTAAGCTCTAATTCTTTATAAATAATATGTTTCATATGTATGCCTTCATAAATAATACATTTTATATATAATCAACCTTTTTAATGTCTTACATTCTCCTTTAACATTTCGGATAGGAAATAAGAGTGCTTTCAGATATTTGCAGGAGGTATGTTTTGCTGTACTGCTATCTTCACACTTGATATTTTACAAAATTGTTAGACGTTATTCTTTTCCAATAATTTTTAAAAATATTTCTTTGAGATACAAATGCAAACAACAAGCTTGATGAAGTAAAGGTACATCTGATATGGCAGTTAACTGATATTTTGCATCATTAAGACAACTAATGGCCAACTTGTAATACATACAAAGGTACAGTCATTGTAGAATATATAGTTTTAATTGATTCAGATTTTAGAATTTCATAGACTAAGATCAGGCGGAATCTCATTTTGGTAAACTACTAACTTTGCCAGTGTTTTCTAAGAAAACTCCTTTTATTTATTTATTTATTTTATTTAATTTATTCTAAAACGGAAACGGAATTCTAAAGCAAGCATAAAATAACATGTTACTAAGAAAACGTATAGCTTCATTTTCATAGGAAAAAACATTACTGCTGTAGGAGGTTTCTTGCGAAGCAGTAATTAAGAAAGATCAGTTAATGCCATAATCAGAATTTGAACCCGAACCTCCCGACTCCCAGCCGGACTCGTTTCTAACCACACTACAAAGGTACGGATAAGAAGGGCGAAAATACCTTACAATACGATTGAGATAGTTCTTTCATTAGCTTCAATAGTCATTCCATTAATAAAGCCGTTTTCATTTTATTTGAGATCAAAATTGTGAAATAATATGTTCTAAGTGCATAAATATATCTTCGTATGTAAATCCGAGTTTTTAAACATATGCATTCTCCTTTACATAGGTATACATTTTGTATCTGGTAGACGCTTAAATACATAAGTATTTTCTTTCTGTTATTATTTTTAGGATGGAGTATTTCATATATTTCAATACCTATTTTGGAATCTTGAAATTCGATATAAGCGAATTCGATTGCATATTCTTTTATCAAAGTATATTGGACTTACCAGCACTTCCATAGTATCCGCTAATATGTAAGCGATAAGCTTGATCTTCGTCGTCAATCCAGAACTTGTCATATACTGCATATGCTTTGATGCCATTGTAATCCATGAGCTCAAAACGAACAGAATACGATTTTTGATTGGTAAAAGCAAAAATATTATCATTTCCTTAAAATGAAAAATAAATTGCCATTATCACTACGTTTGAAATTTAGCACTGCTTTTATTGTATTTGATCAATGAAATAGCTAATAATGTATCTTTAATATACAGTATCGGTAACGTATCGCTAATATACATGACAGCTTTTAAAAGCTAGATAAGATTAAGCTTTAGCCACAGAAGTGCAAAATTATGCACACGAAAACTATTATAAGCAACCTTCAGCACACATAGTGGTACATACTTGAGCATAAAGGCCACTGTTCCTTAGACAATGGGTATCTAAAGTGCGGTCCACGGGCCGCATGCGGTCCAAAAGTCTTTAAAATGCGGCCCAAACGCAAATTAGGAAAGTACAGTCAAACGTCGTTAATTCGGACACCCATAATCCGGAATGATCTATAATCCGGACCTCAAAGCTACAACTTTCTGCGCATGCGTCGTGTTGACGCATGTGCGTAAGACTTTGACGGCTGAGAATATGCGTGTGCGCACGCGCATAATACGTTTACGCATACGCGTTTAATGTATAAGGACGGTATAAGCTAGGCTAAAATTATCTAATTCATTTAATGTTGCAGATTGCGTTGTTCCTTAATCTTCGAATCGGATCCGGCTTATTATTTTTTGCAGACTGTTAGAGCAGTTTTATAAAAGTAAGCTTGAACTTTCGATTATGTCAAATAGAATTTCCGATGTATATTTACTAATATGTAAAGGATCTACAAAGCGAAAGTATGTTTCGAAGTCCATTAAACGAAAAGTGGAATTGCTGCAAAAAATGGATAAAGGCATATCCTTTGTTTTTCTAACCATTCCGAAATCTGTTTATCAATTTCACGCTGCTCTGCGGGCGGCGGGGGGGGGAACGCCGTGACTTGCAATGAATTGGAAGTTGATCTGTCAGCACTATCCTTATCTTCAGAGCAGATGTTTTTATTTTATTTGGCTTATAATTCCTTACTAAATGTAGTATTTCATCTCGATGTACTCCGTCTTTGATATGATTTAAATCAAATTCCTCGTCATTATAATTCGCTTCCGATAGTGAAGAAAGTGACACAGAGGTTATTGAAAACGAAAAAATTTCGATTGACAAATTAGTCGGTATTCTGGACACAGCAATTATAGGAGTTGAACAGCGGAACTTTGTAACTGAAGAAGAAATTATGTCTATTTATAGAATTAAAGAAAAGTATTATCACATAAAACGAAGCAACTTAAACAACTTACATTGAAAGAAATGTTTAATAAAGTAAACAAATAAATATTAAGCTTTTTTTTTTGTGAATTTTGATGCCTTTTAGATCATAATTGTTCTTTATTTTATAAATTACGGTTTCATATTTTTAATTTTACAATTTCTGCATGCCATCTTACCAGATTTAAAGTGGTGATCTATAATCCGGAATCGCCGAAGTCTCGACGAGTCCGGATTAACGACTTTTGACTGTATTTAAATTTACACATTTTTATTAAAAAATAAATGTTTGAATTTGATTCATATATAATCGATTCGTTGACATTTAATTTAAAATAAAAAATTAAATAAAAACATCTTAGTATGTCATGATGTATTAAAAACCTTCCGCGCACGGCTCCCGCGATTTCCACGGGATGTGAAATCCGTCTCGTAATACGGGTTACGTGAAAATAGCTTGTGTAAGTTTACTTCTCTTTTCAATACGGATTCCACGTTTTCTCCGTGTAGGCTAAGAATATTATAATATTCATATTTCATGTCTCGTTTTGCACCTAGATGGCGCTACAGGTTTATATCACTGTAAGGGACTATTGCTTCTTTAATTCTTGGCGGGAACTGTCTTTGTCATTTGCGGGACCAGATCTCAGGTTTATAAGTAATAATAATAAGTTAAGTACAAGTAATATTATTAGCTATAAAAATTAGTTAGCATGTAGTTGAATTTATACTTTTGCTATTCACAAAAGATCAGAACTCGTAAAATATTTAAATACTCGATTTTAAATTTCCAAAAATAATCAACCGTTAATTATCAATGTCTTTTTGCCGTCGTTAAACATTCAAAATTTTTTTAATATGTATACAAATTACAATATTTGTATGCAGTATATTGCATTGTATTTTAAGTTCTTAATTCTTGTGTCAAATTGTTAAAAATGTATGTATAATTCATAATCATTATGGATATTTGCTTATAAAATTAAAATATATAGTTTTTTTAGATGGCCTTCATGTCATTGAAAAAACAAGTAGAACATAAAAAAAGAAAAACTGAAGATGAAGAAAAGAGTTTTTAATGAAAACTTTGGACGGAGAAATACTTTTTTATTGAGGAGAATAGTTAAGCACCTTACTTAATTTGTAGGGACTTAGTGTCAGTTTTTAAAGACTACAATTTGAAACTACAGTATAGTCAAAAGCATGCCACAAAATATGATGTATATCCCGGCATTTGCCGTAAAGATAAAATGGCAGAACTAAAAAAAAAAAGGCTATCGTCTGAACAATTTTTTTTAAAAGACAGCTACTCAAAATAATAACATTGCAAAAGCAAGTTATGTCTTAGCAAATTTAATAGCGAAAAAATCAAAACGCTTTATTGATGGCGAATTTATAAAAGAATGTATGGAAAGCATAGTAAGCAATATTAGCCCTAAAATAAAGTTGGATTTTTCTACACACTAAACTATAGCCTCAAGAATTGAAGAGTTGGGGAATTCAGTTGAAAAGTCTTTAAAAAGCAAATGCATCAGTTTTAAATTTCATTCGTTAGCCATGGATGAAAGCAGTGACGCTTCTGATACGGCATAACTGGTAATCTTTATCAAAGGAATCGAATATTATAATATCACGGAAGAAATGGTTGCTTTAGCATCGTTAAAGGACACAATCAAGTCTGTAGTAAATTCAATGCATTAAAAACGACAATGAAAAGGTTTTCCTTATCTATGAAAAATTTATCAGCTATCATAACCGATGGAGCCTTTGCTGTGGATGTTAAAAATAGGGGACTCTTTAAAACGGTTAATAATGAAGCCGTCGCTACCGGCGATATGATCATAATGGCATATCATTGTATTGTACATCAGGGCAGTTTATGCGGAAACCTTTTTTAAAATGGAAAGCTTATTAAGCGTTGTTATAAAAACCATTAACTTTATAAGAGCAAAAGAACTTAGACCTTTTTCTCTCTTTTGCTTATATATATCATAGACAATTTCAAGATTTTCGTAAGGTAATGAGCACTGAATTTGCAGATGTTATTTATTATACAGAAATGAGATGACTCAGTAAGGAGAAAATGCTCAAAAGATTTTAAGATTTAAGAACTGAAATAAAAATATTTATGGAAACGAAAGGGAAACCTGAGACTGAATTTGAAGACGAAGACTGGATTTTAGATTTAGCTTTTTTAGTATTCTTAACAGAACATTTGAATGATTTGAATTTGTAACTTCAAAGAAAAAATCAACTTATTAATAATATGTTCCAACAACAGCGTTTGAAAGAAAATTAACATTTTGGCACAATCAAATAAAAAGTAAAAGATTTGACACAATTCAGTACTTTGGCTGCACATAAACCTGTGAGTTGCACAAAATATGTAAAATATGCTGCATTAATTTTTGATTTAATTCTAGAGTTTGAAAGTAGATTTCTTGATTTTCGAAAAAATGAAGAGTATTTCAACATATTTTACACCCCTTTTTTTCTAGAAATAAGTACATTACCTTCAAATGGAATGCATTGAACTGCAAAGTGACATTCGACTGAAAGAAAAATTTGAAAATATTTCTTTACTGGAGTTTCATGAAGATTACCTACCCCGCGATAAATATCCTAATTTTCAAAATCATGCTTTATTAATGTCTTCAGCTTTTGGTAGTACCTATAATTGTGAACAATTATTTTCATAAATGACGTATACAAAAAAACAAAAATTGGACAAAGATCACTGACAAACATCTTGAAAATGCATTAAGAATTGCAACCTCGTCTATTGGACCCGATATCGATTTGCTTGTTCAACAAAAGCAAATTCATCCATCTCATTAATTTGAATTTTTTCCATCTTTATGAAATCAAAACTAAATGAAACGAAACTTTTACAAATTTATAATAAATATGTACCCATACATATATGATTCAAATTAAAAACATCGATAATGAAAAGAAGTTAATTTATTTTAATAAAACAACGCATATTTATTTCAATTTGTTAAAAAATAAAGCATGTGTGGCCCCGCATTTTTTTTTCTTTATAAGGCTTTCTTGCTGAAACTACAGTTAAAAGTTATATTTTTCACTTATTATCGTAACTGTCGGCCGCTACGGAACATGTAATAGATATATAAGCATTACCTTCTTGTAGAACAATGCCCGAAGACGCATGAATTTCAACAGAAAACAAACTAAGTAGATGGGTTTCCTGAGAATCACAGAAATTTTCCTTAGTTCATATGTGATTCTCCCGAGTGTTCGTGCTGTCATTCATGAGAAAGTCAAGGCGCAAATCTCCGAATGATATTTCTTTCTCTAATTCACCTCATAATGCTTATAAAGCTATAATAACTTAAAAAGTAATTTTGTAGTTCGTATCATTTATTTAATAGGCTATTTTATGTTGATAGGAACTTACTGATCGGTTACAACAATAAAACGTTTTCAATAAGCCAAATTAATTTGCCCTGTGTTTCATGCCTACAAACTCGATAGTCGGAATCTTGGCATTTGATAAAAATCTGTCATCCGAAGAAACCAAAACCGGCCGAGGACACATTTACCTCCCGAAAAGGGAGGAATTCATTATTTTGTTCGTTTGGGGAATCGATGTTTTTGTTCTTATGCTTAGCAGTTAGACTCTTGAAAGCGAGGCATCAAGTTTTAATGAATCAGAACATTTAATAAAGACACAGACATATTTTTTTGCCCACTTCAAGTGAACTATAGTATCTGAAGTTATGTTTCTTTGCCATGAATATGTGCTGTACAGTAAAAATGTCTTTTGAAAAGATATAGGATTAAAATAACACAATGGAGATTAAATTAGTGTTTTTAAAAATGTGGTAAATGAAAATAAACTTTTCATGCATTTAGGTACTAGATAGAAGGCGGAGGCTTGGCAATAAAGACATTTCAAATCAAGTTGATAGTCCAGGAAAAAAACTTATAATGAAGTTTAAAGGGAAAGAAAAGCGTGAAAATGCTGAATTTGGGAAAAAAAAAAAAAAAAAAAAAAAAAAGAATGACAGCTTATAAATACAAGCGTTCAGATTACAACTGAAACCAGTATTTTAAGTGCACGTACCTGTTAGTTGTTTTATTTGTAGAATTTCTCCGATTACTGTAAGGATACGTAAGCCGTTGATAAAGCAGCTCGGTGGGATGGCAGGAATTCTTAATACAGAAAGTTTTTGATGGACAGAGAGGTTAATCGTTGTACGTGCAAACTGACGCCGATGATTATAAGAAAACGAAACACTTTCGTGCAATTTAAAATATAAACGTTTCTTAATTAAGAATGAAATTTTGTAGTTTCTTGTGAATAACACAGTCGAATATTCGAATACATGAAGAAAAATTTAAAGGTAGAACTTTATCAATATTTTGCATCCGCGTGGAGTAACTAATGTAACCCAAGCACCTAAGACGCAACTTTTATACAAAACAATAGTTCATCATAGCGTGGTACCATAATAATTGTAAGAGAAAAAAATTAAAACAATTACTGTTCCTCGATTGTAATTGCATCATGTAAGCCAATAGATTAGGTATTTCTTGTAGTATGAAGAAAAAATACACCCATAAACTTTTACCACTGGTTTTGTTTGAGAAGGGAAAGGCCAGATCATTTAAAAATCAATAAAATTCATTTATTGAAAAAAAGCAGGGCAGATTTATGGGATTCATTAAGATTCGTTCGAATCCACAAGACTGTTTTCTAAAGATTCTGAAAACGCGTTCCTAGAGAACTCAGAAATGATAGAAAATTTTAGGATTATAGATTTATAAAGTATTTCGCCCGCCTTCTTAGCATGCCTTCGTGGTGTAATGGTCAGTACGCTCGGTGCGCATTCGAGAGGTCCGTGGTTCGTGTCCCGGCGAGGACATTGGTCAATTTTTATGTCTCCTGCTTCGAAATAACGTAATGTTTGTACAAACTTAATAAATAGTTTAACATGTTGCTAGGAATCTGGTAACGGGCAAGTTGACGAATGAATTGATTAGTTAATTAGTAATGTGAAAATGATAACGTTCAAGGTGGTAATAAAGTTGCTAAGTACTTATTCAACGCAGAGTAAAGTTATGAAATTACTAAAGAGGCCCAGCAATGAACATATCTTTCATTCGTTTAATCAATGAAGTAGCACCGAAAAGACATAAACGTGAGAGATAATCTAGAGTCCCTAAATTATCTCAAAGGTACTACATAGTTTCCTTTTAGTTGTTGAATTTTGTGTATTTTTCTTTTGGAGCTCAATAGCTATTTTTTGCTTTATTTTATATTTGCTTTTCTTTTTTATGTATTTCAGCCATTCAACAAAGGACTTACAGCAAAGTATTCTTAGCTATATATAATTTTAATAGATTAGTTTGCAGCAATGTATTATGTGACTTACGTATCTAATTCAATAGATGTCGTCACTTTCAGTAAATTGCTGACCACCCAGTCTGCTTTGAAAAGCGTTTGTTCTAATTTATCATTCCGCATTAGCTGTACTATACATGTATGACTTAAATTAGCAAAAGCAAATTTTTCTACCGATCACATTAAAAATTCACCAAATGAAATGCGTATTAAATATTTTATGAGGATATTAATTGGAAATTATTAGTCTTTTTTACTCTGGTTTCCTCGATTAAAAAATAAAATGAATATCGAAAACAGATCGAAAAATTGCACATTTGCGAGGGAAAAAAGACATATTTACAGAAATAAAAACCATTGCGAAAGAGCGCATCTACTGTTAGCGGAGTTATGCAATATTTCATAATTAATATTCAACTAAATTTCATCCTTTATTTGCAAATGCATTAAAAAATATCCAGTATAAAAAATTTCAGTATGGTATCAAAAATATCCAGGTACATGCAGCAGGAAAAATATCCAGGTACGAAATTATTAAAAACTCTTTTAAAATATACTAATTACTATATTTACCAAACCAAAAATCTTCATTCAGTTTTCCGAAACCTCTTTTGTATTCAATCCAGTTTTTGAAAAAATAGTCCTCAGGCCTCGAAAAATTTCCTCTTCTTTGAATCACCTGGGTAACAAAATAAAATGTCTATTTATTCTTGCTAGAAATATCAGTGATGTTTACCAAGTTTAAATAATTATTTTTATTTATTTATTTTAATTTCATTGCCATGCTTTAATTCAGTTATTTCAGAAGATGTAAATTTTGGGTCACCGTATTTAAAAATGACGTGAAGGAAGTTTAAAATGAGGGAAATGCCTGATAACATCGTCTTCTGTGTTCCTTGCCCAATCTTTGATGCTTAATTTTACTTAAAATGGTCTAAACACTGCTAAGATAATTAAGGCTCTTGAAGCCTTTAATTTATTTGATCTGAATAAACTCATGCCTTTCTGGTATTAAAGTAGTTTTTAGTTTGCCGTTTGCAAATATAGGTAATTAAAGTACTTTTAATTTGCAGCGTAGATTGAAAGAATTTAAATAAAAGCTTTAATTTTCTTTAAATTAAAAAGCTCATTAAAGCATCCATATGAGTTTTCTAGGATTGTGGGATAATTCAATGTAAAATATAGAAGCGTTGAATGAAAATAAAGGAAACATTTTGCTTTTTTTGTTAATCTAGTTTAAAACTTTGCAAAATCCACCCTTTTACTTTTTTTCACTGTAGATTATGGCCTAATATTTTTATTTTGAGTAATTTAGAACTTCGTTTAAAGAAAAAAATTAGATTTTACTATTTTTCTTTTCAGTAGAAGAGAGAAATTATCATGAATTTCAAAAACATATCGCTACTAAAGGTATGCTATTTTAAATCCTGCGTAGTTCTTTGATATTGTTCTTGATGCTAATGCGTAGCACGTGACCTAAATTTTAGATTTTATTTGATATTACAATTAAAATTTATCATTTATGATGTGAACTCATTTCTAAGATGACTATCCATTGTTTGAAGTAATTTTGAGCTTCTGCGAATGTTCTCATATCAGAGAAGTAATTTTCATTCCCAGTGCTTATTTATGATGTTATTAAAATTGATTATTTTCAGAGGGTTTCGCCTCAGGATGTACGTTTCTCACTTTTTATATGTAACTGATAACACTCTTTATCATACCTTCACCTTTTCATTAATTTGAATCTATATTTCTATCACGTGTTCGCCAATGGAAAATACTCCATTAAGCTAATTAGAGCAGTAATTTTGTAATACTGGCCTACCAATCAGAACAGTCATTTTACGATACTGATGTTATGCGGCAATGAAGTGGTGACAACGAAAACTAAAAAGTATCATTTATGGTTGCATTAGGTGGTAATAACTGCAAGTCATAATTACTAAAATCTTTGGATGACACTAGAGCACCTGACTTTGATCAATTATGCCTATGCCACCAGCAGTGCCGAAAGAACACGAGAAAATTAACAAAAAACTGTAGAAAAATATGAACGGATTAAAATATTGAAATACTGCAACGTAAATGGTGAATCAAACTTTCAAGATGAATTAAAGTTTACAAAATTTAGTATCAGTAAACCAGATATTATATTGCTGCCCATCTGAAATGAAACAAAGTCTCTTTCTTTCAGAAGGGCCTGTCGCAGCAATTATTACCCGCCATAACGGCTATTCAAAACCCTGACTTTTCCGTATCTTTAAGGTTGTAATTTTGTTCAACCTTACATTACCGTAAATGTAGCTTTAAAATCTCTTATTTTGAATGGTGATGTTGTTTGGATGAGACGAAGTATATAATCTAGGTAACACTTGATTTTTACGGCCCCCGTTATCAAAATGGAACCAAGATTATCGCCAAGTTTAAACTAATCGCATTTAGTTTGTCGCTGACATATCTCCATGATCGCTTTTAATATGGCATCAAAAGCTTACCTTCCCAGAGGATTTCCGCCACATGAATTCCGAAAGATTCGACTATATGGGATGTCGAGCCGTACCCCTTTGTTTTTGTTTCACCATTTAACACAGTCCAACAATCTTTCCACACATTTTGAGTGTGGGCACCCGTTGTTACATTTACAAAATTAAATTTGTGATTCACAGTTTAATTGCTAAAATCAGCCTTTTCAAGCTCTTCTGTTTTATAGGCTGGCTAACAAGCTGAATATATTGTCTTCCAATAAGTGGTCTACAATCGTTGATATCAGTGTGCTTGCTTTCCGCTTTGGAAGCTGGACAAGAAACATTTGCCACTTTCTCGGCATGACTCACCGAACATCCAGTGTTGTGGAAGTACCCTGTCAGAGTTGGTTTTCCACAGCACAAAAAATCTCTGGTCAATTTCATCTAATTTTCGAGGCCACCTATTGGTCCTTTAGGTTGTCGACGTAAATCTGGGGAATAAACCTCTGTTATAAAATTGTTCCAGTCAGCCGTGCTATTTTGACCCATGTTAAGCTGTTTATCGCATCACTTAAGCGACGTCAGTTCTTCTACTCAACGAAGCAGATAAAACGAAGCATTGTTAAGAATGGTACTCTGAAACCACTCAACTAGTTATCGGATTGAATGCTGTGTTTTTGCTTATAGCATTCTGTGTTGCACCTCCAAAAATTTTCGTTTACATACGATTTCATTTGGTGGCTATTTACTTATATTCGATTGCGAGGTAATATATCTTTTTCCTGGAAAAATCATAAGCATCTTCTTCACTAATTGTTAAATTAAAAATTCTCAACATTTTTTTTACAATGTTTAAACTGAAAGAAACTACTACGATATTGCGCTGCTTATCAAATTCGGCATATAGAATCTGAAAGTAAAAGTGAAATTTCCGTTTTTTTTACATAAATGTTTAAATTAAAAAAAGATAGTTACGATATCACGCAGCTCGTCAGATTCGACAAATAGATGTTAAACTGAGAAAAGAGTGTTATGACTTTACGCGGCTCACATAATTTGGCGGTTTTTCGTGGGAGCAGTGAAAAATCAAGTAGTACCATATGCTACTACTTCCTCTAAAAATAATTTTTCTTTTTTAATAGATGGTCAAATTAAAAATAATTGAAAACTACGACAGATTAAGTAATGCTCATTTTAAATAGTACTATAGTTACCAATTCCTTTTGTATTTATGTTCTCCAAAATGTTAGCCAATTTCAGAGAATCTCACCTGTGGTAGGTTACACTCAGCAGATCTTTTACTTTTACTGTAGTTAAAAAGATCTTAGATCTTTTTACTGTAGTTAAAAAGTTAGCATACAAAATTTCTTACCGTCCATCCTCCCCCATCAGTATCCATGTCGCAGTATGCTTTCACCGTTTCGCAACTCAAAATTCTACTCTTAGGCCAAAGCGTGTACACTCCACTAGTATTATGTCCATTCAGCAGGACCTCAGTGCAGTCCATAGGTCTTTCGGGAGGCTTCGGACATGGATCTATTCAAAGAAAAAGTATTCATTTTATATCTTGAATTTTTAATTAACGCTTACAGTTGCCTATGATTAGTGAATGAATTTCATAAGAATATTCGCAATGTTCCCGGAATAAGGAAAGCTAACTCCGTTTTCCAAAATAACTAGCTATTGACTTTCCTAAGGATCTTTAAGAAAAGAGCTCTTTCCATGTTCACAGTGATTTATTGTAAACATACAAAGTCTGTATATAAAGCAGAATACACAACCACTCACCTTATGAGGAATCATCACATTCTGCCGTACATAATCTTGTGATGTAAGTTTTTCACGCGTTGAGGTGGCAAATGCAAAATGTTGCATCGAATCCTGCCGAGGAAGCAAACAATTTCTCTTCTTTTTTGACTCTAAAAATCTAAGTAATTTTTACAACTCGGCCTCAATTAGTCTTTTTCTGAGTTATCCGTTCCTGATATCTGTATGACTCCTCGAGTTCTACAGATGTACCTGGTATTCTCCCTAGAAATCTTTATGGTTCACTCTGGTATCCTAGCCGTCACATTTTATGTTTTCTTTTTTTCAACTGGCGATAATCACATTTGTTGCCACATTAAATTACTTTGCTATAATTCTATGAAAGGAATTGAAGAAGGCCTCAAATTCTTGAAACACTTCCTAAGTATTTGCTGTTACCAAAAATTTATATTTAGTATATCCAAAAATGATAAAAAATTCCAATCACTGAGTTAAAGCTGAAAATTCTTGCGTGATGGACTCAAAATTAAACTCCAGAATTAAATCCAAGTTGAGTTCTACCGATTACCGATATCCGCATTATTTGTTTCAATTAGCTGGTTGATACATTTAAAAGAATCCATTGGTTATTGGCCAGGTTATTTATAGCGGTATATTCGAGATAGGCTTGAGGACGGCGCTTACTAGAATTTCTTAGAAAATACGATTCAGAATGTTTCTACCCCTCAGTCAACACATGAAACGCATTCATCTTTCAAATAAAATGCCGTAAAGCATAGCAAGAAATAAAAAGATACCAATGTATGAGTAACTAAATTTGACGTGGAAAACATACCAAGCGGTACCTCAACCTGTGCATGAGATCTATTCAAAATGCCAACAATTACAGGAAATTCATAAATAAAGAATAGCATAGAAACGTATTTAACGAAGGAAAATTCCAGAGTTACGTTTGTATGGATAAATGTGGAAGAGACACAAATAAGTACCTCAAAACATGAGGTAAAATTAGTGATAAATAATAATAAAAATGTAAAAGTAAATGCATTGTAATAAAAAGTTCTAATAAATTGCAAGGAAATATTTGCATGGATTTGTTATTCTATCTAGTGTGTATCTAATAAATTAAATGGTTATGAGTCCAAATTTATTGAGAAACTATTGCGAATGCAACTCTTAACGTTATATTTCGTAATCGTAATCTATAACAACATACAATTAAGTTTTAATTCCTCTTTCCGCGATCTGCGTTTAAAAAAAGCTGAAGATTACTGAAACAAAATCAGGTGCATCGTCAGTCCAATACATCTAACACAAAAGTCAACTTAATTTATGATGTATCATATTATACGCATTTCAAGATTGTTATAGGAGCAAGAGTAACTGAGATATTTGATTAATAACTAATAACTGCAACAACTCGTAATCAATTTGTATACCTCCACTGAATGATAAATAAATTTCGTTGTTATATAAAAGCGTCCTCCATTGCCTTTTATTGGGGTATATTATAAGCTGTTTAAACAAGCTACTATATGTAATTGTGACAACGTCATAGGCTATACTGATAAACGTTGTAGATAGATGCATTTATCAAACGAGGTTCTGGAACCTGCGCAATTTATAATAACATTCTTGTCGTAGGATCATTGTCATATTATTCGCTTATAAGCCTAAGATCAAAGGTCTTATCGCAGAGTTTTAATTTGTCATAGATCTTTCTGTTTAATCAACACCTCAAACATGCGTTGGATTTAAAGTTTAAATTTTATTGAAATACTTCCATTAAATAATAAATATAGTAATTTTAGACTGACGCGGAAACATTCTGAATAGTGACGGATAATCCATTGATTCTGCTAAATATTTGAAAGATTCTTTTTTTCCTTCTTGTATTGCATCACCATTGAAAACAGTTTCAAATTCCGCAAAAAGCAGCAAGCATATCCAGGAGAGCCACCTGTCAGAAAAGAAACCTGCAATTAATTTAAAATTATTGAGACAAATAACATAAGCTACCCCTTTACTTTTTTCTGTGAATGATTCACTCTTGAAAACAACTTCTCACTACGTTGAAGCTTTCATAACTGAGTTCCTTATACATCCCCAAGTAATAATTCATTGTACTCTGGCACTAATAATAGAAATCAATTAGTATTATAATTTACAAAATTCTGCGTTCTACTAAAATATGAAACGTATCACTTAATATTTTGCATTATATAAGTACGCTTGCTTTTCAACTCTGGAGCCTCTTCACGTTCTCCTGATTCACCCAAAATATCACGGTAATATAAAATTAGCAAAGAAATGTTTTCAAAAGTTTTAAACTTCTTGAAAGTATTGCACATCATTTTTGAATAAACAAATATTTGGCAAGCATAAACCCTAAGTTTAGCGTTTTTATTCAAATAATAATGCAAGTCTCTATTTACATTTTGTGGTGTTTGTAAAATTTTCAAGGACAGCACCCTGTCGTTTAAAAAAACAACGTGAGGAGCTTGTGTCGCAAAAAACTGCTTCTATACAATGAAACTGAATGGTACTTTACAGGCACACACAGAATTTATACGCTGCTGTATAGAGAGGTTTTAAATAATTTCAAAACTGTCTAACAAAACATCACCAACACTTAAAATGAGTAGCACGATTCATAGATGAGAGATAGTTCAGTAAGATCACATGCGTAACTGACCATTAAGCATTTGTTTTGCATTTATTTCACTTGAATTCGAGTAACATTGGTGGAAAAAATGTTTGTGAAATTTCATTTTAATAAAGGAAAATTCTAAGCAATTATTAAACCTTCAGATTAAATTTCTTTCCCTGATACCATTGATTAACCCATATCAGTCAGAACTGAAAACTTACAGTTAGGCAGATATCAGTCTAGTGACAATCTTCTGTTTAGATATCAGTCTAAACAGAAATAGCAATCAAGTGGATACTTCTGTTTAGTAAGCATTATGTATGATTTTTAACCTGGAAAGATTTAAAACGAGTGATTGTTAAAACTTTTTTATGAACCGGAAAATGTTTGCAAGGTTATAAAATATGTGCACTGCCCTTATATTACTTTGCTTCCATGGCGAATCTTCTACAATACTAATTCATGGTGTTTGGAGAGTTTTAAGCTCCAGACAAAACACAAAAATGATTCTGAGAGATTCTCATATAAGCTTCCATGTACGCTTTGTGATATTCTTAAGGAAAATTTCAAAAAATAATCAAACACTAACTTACTTATAGAGAAACATTTTGATGGTCAGATTTCAAGAAAGCCTCAGAGTTTACTGCGAAATAGTGTTAATCAGAGATAACACTTCATTTATATCCGTTTCAGACATGCGATTAATGCATATTTATCACGAAAAGTATTCCTGTAGATGCGATAAATTGTTCAATCGAAAATATTTCATTTACAGTACGCAGTACTTTTGCGTTCGAAAAGTGAAAATGAAATTTCTGTAGATAAATGGAAGATAATGAATGATATCGGGTATCGTTTAGACTTGTTTGCAAAGTGTTAAATAATTTTTAATCAGTCAGATGAAGTTTCGTTTATATTGTTGAACAATAAGAATAGTTTGTCATGTACATGGAATATCTAACCCTTAGAACTCAGACATTTACTTGAAAATCAGTTAAGCAAATGAAAGAGAGTAAAAGTTATTCTCGCAAAATGCTTTTCCGTTTTCCTTTTATTTTCAATTATTTCTTGTAATTTCTTTCTTGATTCGATTCTTTCTTGATAATTTCTTGATAAATTACATTAATTAATAATTTTTAGCTTTAAAAATAATCTTTCGAGAAAACATTTTTTTCTTACTGTAAATTACTTAGGAGGTGTGATAGAAGTAAACTTTATTTCGATAAAATTACATAATAAAGTAAATTACGCTTTTTGTTTTAATAACTTAAAAATTAGCATGTGTTTCAAACAGCACAATTTGAGTTAATGCAATAAAAATAATTCAAGCATGCATAATCCCATAAAAAGTCATATCAAACAAACCTTAATATATCGTATATTGTTGTAGACTTTTCGACTAACTTCTCACGGTATCATAATCGAAGGGTGCCTTAAATGTAAATAAGGCAAGTGCGAATCTACATTTTACTACCGTACATTTTTCAATTCTGTAACCACGCTGATGGAAATGCATATTATAGCATACAATCGAGTGAAAGCGCATTATCACGATGGTATACAACATTTCTCTTGACTGTTTAAAATTATTTATGTAATTATGTAATTGCCATTCGTAGTAACCAACAACGAGTGACGCTACACTAAACACTATATTGAAAGGTTACAGGTGAAAACATTGCAGAAAAGGGCGTTCGGCGGACACCAAAAGCAATTCGCTGATAGACAGTGAAACTTAAATATTAAAAATAATACTCTGTGCTGTGCTTATTACGCATCTATATATTGCTAAATGCTCCTTGCTTTTCTAATTCAATAACATGCTTACACAGTAGGTAGCAAGTAAATACAATATAAAACTAATTATAACCTATGATAGCAGTTCGTAGGGAACTACGAACTAACTAACTTGCTAACTAAGTAACAAGTATAAGGAAGAAACAAAATCTTAAGTACTATAAGATTATTTGACGTTGTTCATTATAGTTAATATTTATATGATAATCCTATAGGAATTTAGATAAATTAAAGCTATTTTGTTTGCTAGAGCTTTACTTGAACTGTGAAGCGACCTATTCGCTAAGTTCAACAACACGTGGAAAAGGTGAAAAGACCTTTT